ATGAGTCTACGGCCTGATATGTAACACATTCTCAATGTATGTCTGAATAGTGCGTGACTGAATCTGAGAAAGGGGAGTCACGTGGGTGGAGCAGTCTAGAAGGGCTTGCAGGAGCGAGAGACACCCAGGACTGAGAGCCCTACTCCCATTCCTTCCCTTGGAAGCTGGGCCGCCTGCTAAAGATCCCAGTACTGAAGTTCCTGCTGCACTCCGCCTCCTGTCTGTGGTTCCTCATCTTCCTGCTGGGAGAGTCCCTGGTCGTGGAGACACAGCTGAGCACCTTCCGTGGCCGCAGCCAGAGTGTCTGGGAGACTTCACTACACATGATTTGGGTCACAGGTATAAGTGTAGGACCCTTTATTTGTGGCAGTGTCGCTTAGGGGCCCCCCTTCCTGTCCTTCACAATAAGCACCCCAACAGGGGGATCCTGCTTTGTAGATGACCCCTGAACATATAACCAGACCCCTCTGGGCTGTAACACAGTACAGGGCCCTTTCCCTCATGCCTAGTCGGGGACCTAGCCCTGTGGTAGACTCCCTGAGCAAGGACCCCTTCTTCCCCCTCCCTGGCATCAGTCACTACCTAGCCTGGAGGTTTCTGTCCTCTCACAAATAAGACCCTGGTCCACAGTGCGAGGTGGGAACATACCTTGGTGTCATGGCAGCCCCCAGGTACTGCAAGACAGGCTCTCCTGGAGGTCATGGAGCAGAAAGTCTCACAGACCAAATGAAAAGACTCAAATCATACAGCGAGTTAAATCCGTAAGTGGTGTAATTATGATGGTGTTGTAATGAGGATCAGAGTTGAGGTTTGAGTGGCTGGGGTTAGGGGGGTGGTGCAATAGACAGAAGGTACCTGGAGCCAGGCATGGTGGCTCATGCCTGTAATCTCAGCTACTCAAGAGGTTGAGGTGGGAGGATTGCTTGAGGCCAGAAATTCAAGACCAGCCTGGGCAACATAGAGAGACTCTATCCCTTAAAAATAAAAGAAGATTGGCCGGGTGCAGTGACTCACGCCTGTAATCCTAGCAGTCTGGGAGGCCAAGGCAATCGAATTGCCTGACCTCAGGAGTTCGAGACCAGCCCAGGGAACATGGTGAAACCCCGTCTGTACTAAAATACAAAAAATGAGCCAGGCATGGCAGCATGCGTCTGTAATCCCAGCTACTCAGGAGGTTGAGGCAGGAGAACTGCTTGAACCCAGGAGGCGGAGATTGCAGTGAGCCGAGATTGCTCCAACCTGGTGACAGAGCAAGACTCTGTCTCCAAACTAAATGAAATGAAATAAAATAAAATAATAGTAATAAAAGAAGATACCTTGGCCCAAGACTTGATCTATGGGAGAAACACAGTGACAGTTATGTTTGGCCACAGCTGTAGCTTGCCAGTTATCCTGATGAGCTGCTATTACTTTTATATGCATTATTTGGGCAGAGGACATGTGGAAAGAGAACGGCTGGTGCCAGTGGGTAGCTGATTTAAGATCTCATGAATACTGAGGGCCTCATATGCTTCAAGCATATTCAGTGTATCATGAATATTTAGAGTCTGTCCATCTCTTTCTATGTATGTTCACACACACATACTCTACTAACTTTATTTGTTCAACATGTCACCAAAGTAACTAGCCTATACTTAACACATAAGTTTCATCCATTCCATTTGTTTTCTTTTCTTCTATAGCAGAACTGAGTATTCACAAACAATTTAGCAAATGCAGTTTATAAGAATCCCCAGAGCTTCAGCCAGCTTCTGGCCCGTCAGCTCAGCAGGCCAAATTGGTGGCGCCTTCCTCGGCTGTCCTCCTCTCATTTAGCTCTGGCTTGGTTAGTGAACTCCAGAGCCACCAGTATACCAAGTCCACTGCTCCACCCTGTACCAGGCCAGTCAGTGATGCCAGAAAGGAAATCTGGTGCAGAAACTTTAGGGAAAGAAACTAAGAGCAGCCCAAGAGGGAAAGTTTCTCATCCTATTTACTAAACGTGGATTGACCTGTGCTGAGTGGAGAGGAAACCAATAGAATTCCTACCCATGGGAGAAGAAAAGTCTTAGAAACATATGAAACAAACCTATTTATTCATGTAATAAATGTTTCTTGATGCCCTATCATGAGTGAAACCCTAAGAGTACATGGAAAAGTTCAACATGGCCCCATCCATCCAACACATATTCACTGAGCGTGCACCCCACCCTCACAAGGCATTCCTGCTCTACAGAACTGATTTCAGTTCCCGACCACATGATATTCACATTTGTCTAGGCCTTTGCTCATTCACTTTTTCTAGAGCACTCGCCCCTTCCTGCACTGCTGGCTGGCTCCCACTCCTCCTTCAGGTCTCAGCTTAAATGCCACTTTTGGAGAAGGTTTCCCTGGCCCCTAAATCAGGGTTAGGGTCCATTCCTAAACACCCATAACAGTCCCTCTGTCCCCCTGCTCCTTAGTCTTAGCATTTACCACACTGTATGAGACCCACTTGGGTTACCCACTGTGTTCCTCACTGACTGTAAGCCCTGGGAGGGCAGGGACTGTCTTATTCACCAGAGGTTCCCACTGGCACATGGTAGGAGCTTACTAAATGTTTGTTTAGGCCGGGCGCAGTGGCTTACGCCTGTAATCCCAAGACTTGGGGAGGCCGAGGCGGGTGTATCTCCTGAGGTCAGGAGTTCGAGACCAACCTGGCCAACATGGTGAAACCCTGTCTCTACTAAAAAATACAAAAATTAGTCAAGTATGGTGGCATGTGCCTGTAATCCCAGCTACTCGGGAGACTAAGGCAGGAGAATTGCTTGAACCCAGGAGGTGGAGGTTGCAGTGAACCAAGATAGCGCCACTGCACTCCAGCCTGGGGGACAGAGAGCAAGACTCTGTCTCTCTCTCTCTCTCTCTCTATATATATATATATATTTTTTTTTTTTTTTGACGTATTTGTTTAATTTGTTCTGGGCGCCAGGGACAGAGATGAGTGGACATAGTCCCTGCCCTTGAGGGGCTCCAAGTTCAGGGGGAGGCAGGGTAGAGACAGACCTGTGGAGCGATATCCTGCAGTGCCCCGTAATGATGGGATCACAGAGATATGAGCTGTGAGAACACAAAACCCTGAGAAATTCACTCCACCTGCTTAGGGAAGGCTACTTGGAGGAGATAACATGTGACCTAGGCCACGAAGGTGAGCTGGGCTTCCAGAGGATGTGGAAGGACATTCTAGGCAGAGGAAACAAACAGTGAGTGGAAAAGCACATGATTGTACCCAGGGAATGAGAAGGGTGCAACGTGGGCAGGGCTGCCTAGCTAATGGGGTCCAGCTCCCAAGACCCCCAGCCCCAGGTTTGGTACTGGGCCTCACTGGAACACAGGTAGCCTGAGCAACCTGAGAATTTGGAGCCCCTTCAAGTCGATACTCTGTATTTTTTTTTAACTTTTTAAAAATAGTTTAATAGAGATGGGGTTTCACCATGTTGCCCAGGCTGGTCTCAAACTCCTGGGCTCAAGCAATCCTCCTGCCTCGGCCCTCCAAAGTGCTGGGATTACAGGCGTGAGCCACCGCACCCAGCCTCAAATCAATATTCTTCAATTATTTGTCCAGTATTTACTTGGTGGAGGGCACGGAGAAACAAATTTCAGTCATTCTCTCCTAATAAACAGCCTGTCCCAGGTGATACTCACTTTCTGAGTGTCTGCTGCCTGAGATCATTGGTGCAGTCACGCCAGCAGTGTCTGCATCAGCAAGGAGTCTTTTTTATGTTCACATAAGATCACTTGTTCCGGAATGGATTACATGTTTACATGTCATTGACCACCCCATAATGTTTTAGCACCCCACTGCCATTCATAGGTTCCCCCGCCTCGTAATCTAGCTCTGACATAGAAGGAGAAGTTCAGTCCGATCCTGTCCTGGGCTCCCTGCCACCCCTCTTCAGGCTTCCTGTGGTTTGAGTGCAAGGAAGTGTGGATTGAGGGCCTGCGCAGTTACCTCCTGGACTGGTGAAACTTCCTGGATATGATCATCCTGTCCCTGTACCTGGCTGCCTTCGCACTGCGCCTCCTCCTGGCTGGGCTTGCCCACATGCACTGCCAGGACCACCTCCCAAGCAACTGCCTGCCACTATTTCACCACGGCTGGTGAGTGTCCCTTCAACTCAGCCCTGAATCCTCCAGTTCTTCTTTCTTGGCTCTTGGCTTCCAGCCACAGCCCCCATTCCACCCCGCACAGAACGAAGCAAGTGGCACACCGAGGATCCCCAGTTCTTGGCTGAGGTGCTCTTTGCTGTCACCAGTATGCTCAGCTTCACCCACCTGGCCTACATTCTGCCAGCCCATGAGTCGCTGGGCACTCTGCAGATTTCCATCGGCAAGATGATCGATGATATGATCCGGTGCATACCGGCTCTGCTCTGAGCTCTGCTCTGAAGACTCCATTTGACTTCCTTCCAAAACTCCCCAGCTCTTGGGTAACACAGGAATCCTTGACCTGCGTTCCTCCAGAGGCATGCGCTCCAAAGACCCCTGAAAACTACAGGCAAAATTTGGAGGGTAAATGTATATTTTTCTGCAGAGAGGGTCTACAACTTACATCTAATTCTCAAACAGGCCCATGACCCCAGAAAAGATTACGAACCATAGATAGCAGAAAGAGCCCTTGGTTGGGAGTTCCAGTCCCAGTTCTGTCAGTT